GTCCCACCAAGTAATTCATTTAAAATAAATATAGGTCTGTGCCACTATAAGGGCATCGAACCCATCAAAGTCTCTTGATTGTTGAGGTTTTCCTCTCCACCTGTCCATCCTCTGGATATCTTTACTCTTTAAAGGCCTTTTAGTGTCTTCTCAAATGTCAGTTTTGATTTTGTCCAGAGAGTTGTCGATCTTTGTGAGAGTCTTTTTGATGCGCAGCGCTGTTAATCGGGCTGACGGGTTCTGGTACCAGCATTCCTTCATGAGCTTGGCCATGGAGGTTAAAGTCTGCAAGTGAATTTGAAAAAATAAGTCAGTCAAACTTAATCATACCTCCAGGGGTAAACGAAGATCAGACTCATACAGTGGAGTTTTGGCTAATGAATAAAAGTAATGTTCTTACGAGAATTGGTTTTAAGCTAACTGAGTAGATCTGCTGGGTATTAACATTGTGGATATATGTACTTGGAGAGAGAAATATTTATGGGAAGAGCACACAGTGTAACCACTGCTGTGGAAACTACCCTTGAATATTTCATTGATGATTTACTTACTGGGTCTGAAAACCATCGATTGGGGATGTTGGGCCTCTGCTGATCCACACACACAACTTTCTTCATATCTTCAAAACTGGGATCACTGGGTACCACGTCGTGAAAAGGTGGCTTGTAGTCTTCTACAATACCTGGTATTGGAGTATAACATGAAACATCAAGTCAATGCAAATGGTTTTGTTGTTTAGAGTCTAAAACATGACCGGTGTGACATCACACTGACCATTGCTGACTGTCCTCCTGGCAATTTCCCACAGGACGAGGCCCAGGGCCCAGATGTCCACTCTTTTGAAGGACTCGAAACAATCCATCTGGATACTGTCGTCGAGCACCTCGGGGGCCATGTAGCGCTTTGTACCCACTTTAGGATTGTTCCCCACGTCCAGTTCATTAGTGTCTTGAAAATGCATGACTGCGAGACCTGGGATGACAACAGTAAAATATTTTTTTAAATTTCCTTCAGACACTTTTGACACTTGAAAAATATATAAGATTAAAATATATAGACAAACCAGGGATGATGTGTCTTCCAAATGACTAAGTTAAATGTTTCATATAAACACAACTGTTTGCATCATAATTATAAGTTTAATCATATTTATCAATGGTAGCTATCAAAAATTAAAATGATAAATATATCACTACTGAATCAATAGCCTTCGTTCACCTCCTGCTCAGACAAACAACTTCCACCATATATGTCATCTTGTAAACAAGTCATGCCTGTTCTGTCTTGTTCCTAAGTTTGTTTTTCATCAGGAAGCTGACAGCAGTACATTGGTTTTATGAGGTGATCTAGCCTGAGCTCTTAATAAATTTGTTGTTGGTTTAGGTCTGAGTGCTTCGTTTTGCAAAGGCTGTTTTTCCTACATCTTCTCAATTATGACCCGGGGACAGACGTGAGTTCAATAACAGGACTGCAAATATATGTCCCCTTTTTCCATCAAACTTCATTTGACTTTAAAGCAAATCATTTTGTGGTTTTGGATACTGTTTCGTTAACATTTGCCTTAACCCTTTGTGCATCTTTTAGAAAAGTTTGCTTGAAATTCAACACTCTGTCCAACCAAGTCATAACACCCTGAATTAAATACTGAGAAAACAAATTATATTTTTAACATTGTATTCTCACCAAGGTCAGCAATGCAGCACTGTCCGTTTTTTTTCACCAAAATGTTTTTGCTTTTAAGGTCTCGGTGAGCGATGGCCGGTTTGCCCTGTGTACCAAAGATTTCCACGTGAAGATGTGCCAGGCCACTGGCGATGGAGAGCGCCATGCGGAGGCAGCTAGATGCATCCAGGGTGCTGAGTTGAAGGTAGTCGTATAAAGAGCCCATTTCGTGAAAGTGGGTAATGAGCCATAGCTGAGTGCTGGAGTTCCTGGAGGTCATGTCTGAAGCTATGAAACCTGGGTTCAGGGGAATAAAATGAATAAGTCATTTCAATAAAAAAAAAAAAAAAAAAAAAAAAAAAGGGAAAAAATTTGGTAGATAGAACGCTTTACTCTCATAAAAATGCAGGATTCTTACCCAGAATATTCTCATGTCTCAGCAGAACCGTGTTGTAGATCTCAGTCTCTCTAAACCAGGACTTTTCATCTCTGGAGGAGAAGATTTTCACGGCAACACTTTCTCCCTGCCACTGACCCCTCCACACTTCACCGAAACGGCCCTTACCTATCAGTCAAGAACCAAAGGAAACATATTGACACACACATTGACACACCTGAAACCCTTTAACGCCGCAGCAAGGGACCTAAATATATAGACGTCCTCAAGAAACAAACTATGTCACAAATATTTATAGCCCAAGCTTTATTTTAGTCATTTCAAACCTGGAAATAACATGTGCCCTGAGTCATTTGACCACATGGGGGCGGCACACAAAAAAATTATTTGAGGGTCGATTGCATATGGCTTGAACTCCTGAGTATAAACAGTCTTCAAAATGGATTGGAACCGAGCACTTTCGAACTTTCGAACTTTTTTGTTCACCCGTCAGACCACATACTGCAGGTTTTATTTCCATGTAATGATCACCACATTAGGATTTATTCCTATTTAAAAAGATAATTACATTAAGGCGTAGACAAACAACTTGTCTGGACATGGATACCAACCGCTTGGGAGTCATGTGGGTTCATTGTGGGGACAAATGTGTTTCAGAGAGGCATTTGAATGCAAAGTGTGAACACCTGCACTGTGTGAATCACCATGTGGTCATACCTGGTTTGTGTGCTCAGTAGGATGGACGCATTGAAATGAATGAGTTGTCAGAGAGAGAGAGAGAGAGAAAGAGAGCTGTTTTAAATATAAAACAGCCCCCAACAGAACACTTACCCACACACTCGTTGAGTGTAATCTGTCGAGCCACGGTTCTCTGAACTAGGAATGGAAGTCCTGAGCCACTGCCTGAAGTGCAGGAATGATCCAGCAGATCCTGGGAAAGAGAGAACAACAAACAAAGACTAAATGACCTGTGTGGTTAAATGTGTATATTTTGGCAGGAGACGCATCACATGGAAACCTTCAGTGAAGGATCGTTTTTGCAAAAACGTAAACATCATAAACTAAAGAACGTGTGGGACAGAAAGAACACTAATGCAGCCAGGCCCGCTTTCATGTGGCACCCACATTAAGTGAAAGCGTGTAGGTGTTTCTGAACGCCCCCTGCTGTCCAAAAAACAGAAGTTTCAGTTCTCTCCATCATGACTAGTGTGAGAGCGGAAGATTTTATCTAATCCAACCCACAGACTCCCGAAAACAGTCGCATTGCTGCTAGGTGTTTTTTAAACACTGCTTTAAGTGTGTAGTGTACTGATACTGACGTAGGGGGGCAGTATATGGTCAGGGGCTGCAGAGCCAGACATGATTACACGCAGGAGTGATTGAAAACAGGAATCTGATGCCTTAGGTAAACAGACGAATAAAGCCTGACAGACTATTTGGAATCAGAACACAGGAGTGAAGGACTGACGTCATGAGATGTTCTACTGGTGAGAGAGGACTGTTTTTGGAAGACCTATCAGGGGCCAGTCAATCTGTGGGACAGCAGAATGTAGGCTGCAGGGGTGAAGAGGTTCAAGTCTGATTTAGCTTCTCACAGACAAAAGTCCTGCTGCCAATAAAGTTATTGAAGCTGCTGCCAGGAACTTAAAAAAAATATGCTCTAACAACTTCTGTGGCTTATTATTTGGTGCCAATTGATAAACAATACACTTGGCATGTAAAATACAAAATCAGCTATTTTACTCGCCAATACAGTTATGCATACAATGTATTAATCCCTACCTTAACACCCAGATATACTATATATATATATATATGTATACACCCAGATATACAATATATATATATAGTTTAATGAACCTCTACTTCATTCACTTCTGTTCAAAATTTCAAGGTCTTTTTAAAAACAATTGAGATTATGGAAACTGTTTACCATATAAACCAAAAATTGTTAGACTGACGGCAACTGGACAGAGTAGGTTTTTTTCACCTCTCATCCAAGAGGCTTCTTCAGTTCTGACTGACTACTGGGAAATTCGGGTATTTAGCCTCAAAAGGGGCAGCATATCCGTAACGAGGGTCAATGAAGAAAGGGGGAATGGAGGTGTGGTGGAACACACCCTATTCTAAGGAGGGCGGAATGTAAAAGTAACAAGATTAGAGGTGTGAATGGGGAGTGATACTGTAGCTATGGACTAATAGTTTAACCTGAGTAAAATCTTTGGCTGGGTGTCCTTTGAAATGAAACTGTGGTCTTTTTTTCAGGGAGGGGGTTGAATTTTTGGGGGGAGAGAACTCAGGACGATTGTACTGCATATACGGCGTTGCTCTGTTTGTGGTGAAGTATTTTGTCCCTTGGATGAACCAGTCTTTGTCTGAGGGTGTTGGTACAGGAATTTAGTGCTTAGTTTTTTTTGGTTCTACGATATAGAACATAACAACAAATTCCCATTTTAATGTTCATTTCAGTAAGTTACTATCTCTTGAAAAGGACTGCACACTTTTCGGCACTCGATCTAAACACAGAGTGTGTGAGCCAACAACAGCACTAGCTTGTCTTTCAGGCCAAACCACAGGACTCCACCTAAACTCTGGATCAGCTAAGCAGCCCTGAAAACACAAACCACTCTGCTGAAAACTTACACTACACACTTGAGTGGAGAGAAAATAAATAGAAAAAGACATTTCTGCTGGAAAAAAAATGGAAAAAATGTGAAGGTGCTAAACAAGTTTTAGAGATGATGCTTTTATCCCCTGAATTCCAGTAGGAGCACCACCCACACTAATGGCCAAAACAAGATCATTACGTTGTCAGAATAAGAATTTAATGAAGAAAATCTCTTTGACTGTAAATAATAGTTATCATCTGTAGTTTTGGCTGTTAAACATTATAGTTACATAAAAATATTAACTGGAGTTTTATGAACAAAACTTAAATAATTTTTGATATTTTAACATTGACTAACAACACAGTCCTGGTGCGAGAGCCTTTGTAGTTTCATTTGTCAAGGTGTGCAGTTAAAGGTCACATGCCAATTAATGTTGTTAAATAAGAATGGAAATGTTTACAGCTGCTAAATATCTTTATTTCAGGGTTCATGTCATGTTTGTACGGCCACTGTGTACCCTGTCTGCACATGTCTGTGATTTTATACTGTTGTGTTTACATCTGCAGCAAAGACACAACAGTAACAAACAGCAATCCACTAACCCGATAGTTGGATGCAAGAAGTTAATACCACACATAATTACATGGTGGACCTGTGCCTGTGGTGAAATATGTTTAGCCTGTGATCTTTAAGCTAACTTTGGACTTTCTTGCTGGGAGGCAGCAGCACATGCCACCACCCAATTGTTATGTCAGTCTTTCTAATGAGCACAGGAGATGTTCTAACCCTGCGCATGAGGACGACACCTACATAGTATTCGCTACTCACCGCCAGAGTGCTCTCCCCCACATTTGATGCAATGAGGCCATCGATGGTTCCATATTCGGCATCTCGTGTTGTCAGTCTCTCCATTTGGTTGTGGTGGATGCGTCTGAACACCAGGATAGCAACAGCAGAAAGGATGATGAGGACGATGATGGGCGCCACAATGACAACAATGAGTGTGGTCACGCTGTAGTTTGGCAGTTCATCAGCTGTGGGGGTGAAAACAGATTTGCACGGCATGAATATTCTCCTGATTACTCCGACAGCCACTTGGAGAACACGACACAAAGACAATCTGATTAATCAAAGAGCGCTGCACACGGCTGATGTCTCACAGCAGCAGTCGCTGTCATCTCTGAGGTCATGGACTGGTGAGACTGACCAGATGGGGGCACAACAAAGGATACAAATTACTGCAGGTAACTGTCCTGCAGTGACTTGTCAGGGATTTCTACTGAGGTGAAATTTCCAACATCACTGACAAGTACGTGCTTTTCCTTGCGGTTGACAAGAAAAAACCATAATCCACCGTAATACCTGAGCACGATAAATTATCAAAAAAAAAAAGTTCCAACAAATATACAACTGGACCCCCCAAACCCTTCAACCCACCCACACACACACTTGGGTTCAAGAACTGACCACCATTCACACTTTCCAAACATTCCAACGTAAAGAGTGCTTAGCTCTCCCCGCAGCACAGACAATGATCCCCTTCACTCAATTCACATAAGGAACCCTTTCTACCAAATACATATAACTAGTAACACATTCAAAGAGATGAGTGAATTCCATTAACATAAATGCAGTGACCGAAAACACATTTGTTACACAATTGCATCTGTTGCATTAAAGTCTTTAACAACTGCCCACAGTGTCCAAACCATGGAACCTTAAGTGAAGGAAACAATTTAAAAAAAGCTCCTTTGCACAGCGGCAGCCTATTTGACAGGTTATGGGAAGAAAATAACAGTCATAAAATGTGAAATGAATTATGGCAGATTTCTATCCATCTTCCTCAGCTTTTGGCTGCCTCCCGGTTAAGTAACACCGTCCAGGTTTACATAAATATGGCCTTGGCTCCTGTGCAATGGGCACATATTTAGCTGGTCAAAATGTTTTAATCATCACAATCAGCACTTAAACAATGTGAGTGATTGGGTTGCTGTGGTCATTAATGAAGACTTCAATACAAAGAGAGCAACGTGAAGGTGAAAGACAAAAGAGTTGAGAAAAGCTGTGTTTAGCAGCCTGCCTCTCCTTCACTCTCAGGTGGCTACAACCTCTGGGCTGGTCTCAGCCAGATCTGACAGCCTCCTGGAGGACAGCTGGGAAGTAGACCATGACTAAATAGTATTCAGGTTGTCCTGTCTCTTTCCACTTCTGCTTCATGTGGTGCCAGGAGTGTGAGCACACAGAGGTGTACAGTAACTGAGGCCAATGGGAGGGAAAAAAAATCACAAAAATGGCTGCAGAGTTAACTATCTCACATCTTGCACAAAAAGTCAGAGAAAAAAATATGTTGCTTTTATCTGCAGGGATCCTGCCCTGTGCTTGTATTTTCAGTTTGTTTTTTAGTATGACTTTTTACACAAAGAAGAAAAAAAAAGCAAAGATGGGCTGTTAAAATCCAAATAAGAAGTCAACAGTGGCCCAGTTTCCAGTTTGTCCAGCTGTGATCAAAGGCTCTAAAAATATTTTAAAACTTTAAATTTTAAATTTTTTTTGAACTGATACAGTAACCCATGTACTGTCAAAATATTTAATAGTAATTGTTTGAACTGATACAGTAACCCACGTACTGTCAAAATATTTAATAGTAATTGACAATTTTCTGTTGATTTTACCTTTGACGGGCAGCTGCACGGTGCTGTTCATGTTGCACAGGGGGCCCTGGCAGCACTCCACGATCTGGTCCCTGGAAGGTGGGGTCTTGCAGGTCATGGTGCTCTGCTCATAGACCTTAAAGCAGCCTTTCTGATAAACCAATGATCCACCGCTAACAGTCAAGGAGGAGAAGCACTGGTGGCCCATGCAGCGATTTCCTGTTTCACACGAACTGCCTTCACACACACACTCGTGCTCCTGTTTTATCAAGGCCTTCACTTCCTCCTCTGAAGAAATAATGAAAAGAAAAGCCAAATAAATTAACACAGTCATGCTGCATCAGAAAGAAAAGGGGAGACTGTAGGAGGAGGAGGAGGAAGATTTAAATGTTCAATTTAAGCTTTTTTTTCCAAGCACAACAGCAACAAAGAAAAATGTGTATAATGTGCACAAAGTCACCTTTCCCAGGAGCCTGCACTGTGACGTTCATGTTACACAGATGGCCCTGGCAGCACTTGACAACATGGGCCGCTGAAGGTGCCATGGCACAGGTGGTTCTGCCCTCCTCATCGTCCCTCAGGCAGCCCTTCTGTTGGACAGCTGCTCCATCAATCATCCTCAGAGAGGAGAAACAGTGCTGCCCTGTGCAGCGATGGTCACGCTCACACATGCTGCCCTCACACACACACTCCTGGTGACTGAGGACCGGTCTACCAGCACTGCGTTCTGTATCTGATAACAGCGGACAGATAGAGATATGGGAAAACCCATTAGAGCAATACCATTAGTATCCTATTAAATTAAATGGCATTCTCTCGAATCGGAAAACATGCAAGTGGAAAATGTTTGTGTTGGCCAGCAATTGTGATGTCAGCTTACATCACTCTGTGGATTGTTTTTCTTTTTCTCTATGTGAAATTTAACACCTGCTGATGTATTAGGATTACTCTGTGGTTGTCAAGGAAACCAAACAGAATATCTTGTCTTTATTGTTTCTTTTTAGGACATCCTTACAATTAATAACTTTTTTGTAATTTTAATCATTATTCAAGGTAGACTATTGATATGAAATAATCTAGTAGGAAATTTAGAATTTTAACAATATTTAAAGTATTCATTTTTAAAGGTTATATAAATGTAACGTCTCTTATTTTCAGTCACATCTTTGTCTGATATTAATGATAACATGATGACTGTAGTTTATACAGATTCATATTTTTTTCAGTGAAAATTAACATGGTTATTTAACCTTCATAGTGGGGTTTCAATGATTTAAGACATAAAGAGAAAGTGGGTGAATTTAAAATCTAGTCGCACTAATCACATAATTATCTGTATACTGAAAGTCACCTACTGTATATGAATCAAGCATAAATATAATAATAAAAACTTGTTGGACTAAATCATTTCTCTTAGAAGATTTTTTTTTAATCATACTTGAGGCGCAAGAGTAAAACATTATTTATATTGAGAGGCAGGATATTGACTTCACAAAAGTTACAAAGCAAACACCTTACCTTTCACCAGTGACTGCCTGGAGACATTCATATTACACAAATCCCCAGAGCAGCATTGCACCACCAGCTCCGGAGACGGCGGCCTTTCACATTGTAGTGAACGTTTGTCAGCCACAACGCAGCCTTTTTGAAGTACTGATGTCCCATTTTGTACCGAGAGAGAAGTGAAGCACTGCTGGCCATAACAGCGGTCCCCACTGGTGCACGATGATCCCTCACATGAACATTCAGAGTTTCTCACACTGCCCTCATCTGCAAAGAGAGATACATGGATGAGTCAGAGGGGGTATGAGGGTCTAAAAAAAAATCCATTGTTCTGCACTTATTTTGCAACTATTGCAGTTGTTTAAAATAACAGTGAGAGACAGCAGAGGAAGGAAAGACAAACAGAGGAGAGCTGGAGACAGGGGACAAATGTGTGAATGTTTAGTCTGGCTATTTAAGAAACCTGAGAGTGGCAGAGAAAGACACTGATGTTGACAGATGAGTTCTATTTTATTATGAGAAAACAAAAGTCACTGCCTAATGTTTAAGACACGAACAGTGCTGAATGAAGGCAATCTAAGTTGAGTTAATGTGGTCCAATAGTAACTATGTTTTTAAGCACAGACTTTGTCAATACTGTGGGCCAAACTGTCAGTGTGCGACTCTCGGTACAAATACCAATATTAAGTGACAATAGCAACATTGAGAGGAACGACTGTTCTGTAATGTTTGAGTCTTCCTGTGTTTGCTGTGATATTAACTGCTCTTTGGTCACACACTCAGAGCTTTGTTCCTGGACTGGGTGACAAGAGGGTAACATGAGTTTAGGATTACCTTGCAAACTGGTAGAGGGAAGGACCAGGGCAATCAGAACCAGAACAAACATGTCACCAGCTGTCATTGAAGACCTGAAAGAAAAAAAGAGCATTCACACGATGAGTAAACTTGATAAAAAGATTTCCAGGAATGTGTGCTTAGTGTCAACTGAACTGTAATAGTAATGATGTGTTAAAGAGGGATGGTGTTTTCTTTCAGAGGCAACTAAATAAAATACCTTCTATGGTTTTAGAAAATGTTTGGGACAACTGTCAGTCATAAACTAGGATAACAAAAGGATTAGCTGTCAATTTGAGCCCATCATTAAAAGCGTTTTTTTGAAGAGAGTCTTTTCTTATTTCTCTGAAAAAAAGAGTCAACACCAAGTTTAAAATGCTGAAGTAAAGTGGGTCCCATGCCTTCCTGTTGTCCTGGCAACAAGGCATTGACTGGCAAGCAATGGGGAGACTGGTACACTCCTATTGGCTGCATCACAGCGTGTGTGTGTGAGTATCTGCGTGAGGATGTGTGCACTAATGTCTTTGTGTATGTGTGTGAGAGGGACAGGCTGCTTGGCACAGAGGGGAGTGAGAGGAAAAGACAGACGTGAAGAGGAGGAGGAGGTGGTGGAGGAAAAGAGGGGAGCACAGCAGGGAGAACGCGTGTGGGTGCCCAAACACTACCATTTAGAGATGGTTTAATCTTTCAATATTTAATGTGTCTCCAGCAGCATCAACATACGTTGTGTGGTTTTGTTTATTTTTATGTTTTTCTTTATACAATGACAGATTTGAGATCACAAGTTTAGCTCATTATGTAAACTTCTGGGAGGCAAGGGGCGAGGGGCTCACATGACCCTTTCTGTAAACATGATGAGTGAATTTTGTGGAAACATCACAGCCTGGAGTAGCATTCATGCCATCATCAGCACCAGGGACTGTTATCTTGGCAACATGTGTGTGTGCGAACGCCTCAATGCATCTCTGTCACTGATAAACACCCCAGCACCTCAGCCACCTCTACGCCCCCACAGCCCTTTGAGCCTATGTCCCAGACATAAATGATTAAGCTCATGATGTTAGCAATAACCCAGCAGCGGTGTCTGTGCAGGCCAATCACACACAGACTGCACGCTGCTCCTTTAATCAGGGCACAAAACAGCGGCTGGCACACAGAGATAATAGGGAGCTCTGTCTGTCTGTCCCCCAGAACCATGGGCAGGAGAAATGAAGCCAGGAAGTGAGCAAGAGGACATGGGGAGCCAAAGTGGTGGCAAATCAAGGCCACTGGGTCAGATAATATCTAGGAATGTGGTCGTTGTAATCAGGGCACAAGGGGTGTACAGGGCAAAAAAAAAACCACATCTAAAAAGTATCACCAGTATGACTAATGATAAAATATTGCAGTACTGGCCCACACTGTTTAGCTTAACAAGGTATTTGAATGATAACTATACTTACTAATAAGATTTTTGGCCCATTCATCAGCCACATACACAAAGCAAGCAAGTAATTATAAAAGCTGCATTCACCTCATTCTGATCAGGATCAATACTCCTTCACATCCCTAGAGGGAGCCCAGGTTCCACCGGTGGTATGCATACCATAGTTTGAGAACTACTTTAATGCATGCAGTTTTATACATCAGCTACAGATGTAGAAGACGTTTGTTTTCATGCTTGGAAAAATATTCAACCTATGCACTGTAATTATGTGGGGGTTTGGGGGGGTTTATGTCATATACTAATTGTGATAAGTGCCAGGCAATATAAATACAGTGAGTATTTCTATTTTGAAAAATCTAAGCTCCTTCTCATTTAGCAAACACATGAGGCAGGGTTTGCTGGTGTCGTGTATCATGAAGCCAGCTGACAGAGTTGGTGGATGAGTACTACAGCAAAGTTTAGTCCCGAGACTTAAAACCCAAGAAGGGATTCTTCAAGTGAAAGGGGTGGGACAAGCATCTGCAGAACCAATTACAATCCATGCCTGACCACTAGTATGAGTTTGTGTGCTACCGCCCTCCATCCCGTGCACACAGAGTTATCTGCGAGTGTTTTCAAGTCATCGTCATGGAGCTGACATGCTGCCAAGGGTGTGTGTGCTCTCATCCCACACCATTGTCTGTCTCAAACCCCAAGTCTGCCTCATTCCCTCGTCGTGCATTCTATACTGTGGTGTCAGAACTAGTGTAAATACTACTAGTGTAAATAGTGTAATACCAGTGTAAATATTGTATGCCAGGTCGTGAATGATGGCCCTAATATAATACACAAAAATAAGTGAGTCATTTTGACTCCCATCTCCCCTCTAGTCTGTGGGGGCAAACTGGTTTTCATTCAAGAGGCAAAATAAAACTACTTAAACTTAAATAACCATGGAGCACAGAAAAAGGCTGACCGAGAAGTCTAGAACTCAACCCAAGCTGAAAGTCAATCAATGTTAGATGGTCGTGAGCAAGGACTTAAAAGTATAATTAGTCTGAGTAGTGCTAACCTTAGCAAGTATGTCCACAAAGCATAAAATACAGCATAATAGTTTTTGATTATAGATCAATGAACATGCAGATCAGTGACCTGAAGAGTCTCACAATGCATGTTCAAGTCCTAGTAAAACTCATAACTCCCCTATTTTAAACACTAACAACAAGCCATTTAGTCTTGAAATCAGAATCAGGAGCGAGGATTTTTTAGGAATTTTTTATTAAGGTGTTTATGATTTCTTGCAACAGTAAGAAGCCAAAGAGCAGCTATTTGGACCAATTGTTTAATGGTGTTTTATGTAAAATTTTACATAAATATTATTAGCAGTTAAAACATCACCATATTGTTAGATTAAGAAACATTTTTTTATTTTTTTAATAGGGCTTTTAAAGAGATGCATTTAAAGCAAAAAAACAAGTCAACATCGACTGCTATTAATCAACATTCATCTCAAATACACACACACCAGATGCTCTCACCACAGAAATGGTGAGATTTGTGCATGACTCCTTCACCAAGCAGTAACCACCTGTTCTGTCAAGCCATCCTGCTTTGTAGTAAGCTTTTTTCTTTTTGAAGTTACAAACTAAGCCATCTTGACTGTATGAGGGCCATAGCAGCTCTCGTCCACCCACGCATAGTGGGATCCTCCACTGACACAGAATTATGTTTGTACTTAACACTAATTAGCTCCAACAGTTATACCAGGGCTGATTATATTTAATATGCATCTTCGTGTTTAATTGAAACAGGGACTTTTCTCCCTTCAGCACAACATAGTGATGCTGGGAGCAGACAAACTATTGATCTAAGACTAATGACACAATGGCTTGTCATTGTATTTAACTCACAGCCAGTGTATAAACAAACTTAATCAAGCTTATCTCGTTTATTTTCCCTCATAATGAGCTTCAGTTGAAAAAGACTTAATTACAAAGTATGCACTGGTCTTGCTCACCATTTTACCAGATAATCTTTAATCTTAAAGTGATATATATTGAACACCCTTTCCATGTCCTAGTAAAGTGATCAATGAACCCACAATAAAGTGGTCCATGTGTTTAATCTACCACATGTTATCCTGACTCTTTCCATTGATCCCAGTCTAGACAGTTATCTTGATGAGAACTTCTCTTAAATGGTGAGCTGAGCTTAAAGTGATTACACATTGATGGTTAGAGGATGATGATGATGATGAAGCACACCACTAAAGTGCTGTGAATGTCAGCCTAAAACACCAGTGTGTGGAGGGTTCTTTTAGTGGGAAACACTTTCTCACTTATCAGTGAATGTAACCTAATATATATTTGTCATTTTGAGAAATTAACATATGACTGATTCCACAGCAAATAACACTAATATTGTTGCAGGGATTTAATAATAATTTGTGTACTGTTTTGTATTCAGGTCAGTGATGAAGGAGAGGATGACAGAACACCTCTCTGTCTGATGAGCATGTTGTATCGCCAGGTTGAGCAGGGAGGAGGCTGGAAACTCTGCAGGAGCTGCTGAGTCATCAGGCTGGCAAAGAGGGAGACAAGAGGTGTCTGAGCTGGCAGGCTGGCACAGTTACCATGGCACAAATAGCCTGGGCACCGAGAAAACTGCAGCAAACTGCAGGAGAGAGAGGAGCGAAACAGGCAGAGACTGGGGCAATGCAGAGCCTGCTGTTTGTTTCCCCGTCCCCAACCCAGACCCAGACAGCCAGAGTGCAAGTATACCATCGGGAACAGACAGATGGCTAGCTCCTGGGTGGACGGGGGTGTAATACAGACCTGAGGGCTCGAGTCTTTCTAGTTGCAGCAGTGCGTTTTCATATTCACAGTGCAGCTCAGCACATCCACAGACTATCTAGAGGAAAAGCTGATACTTAGAAATAGAGGTGCACCAAAAGACTACAGAGATAATGTTAGGGACTTACAGTGGGAATAAAATTTAAAACAAACAGCCATGGAATTACAATTATTACCATATGTAGGAAATCTTACCTTTGGCTTCATTTTCTAATTTTTCCATTTGCTTTGCTCATGTTTGGGACAATGAATGGGAATGTATTAAATTGGGAAAAGACCCAAGGGGGCAGTATTTACTCAGAGCTGGAGCAACAAAGATTTGCTATTTGATATGAAACATTTTGCATGCTGTCCACAAACTGTGGTTCATGAGCACAGCAGCAGGACCGCCGCTACTTAACTACTGCCGGCGCTGCTTCAGAATTGGCGCGGACAGTTTAAAGCTCCCTCTGCAGGAGTATAGGGTAAGCATACGCTGACTTTAAGCAAAAAAATAAACAAAAAACAATCTTGCAATTACAGGAATGACACATTGACAGCGCCATCACTTAGAATATATGACTATTTTTTAAAGTCAGACCTACTCTTTCACCTTCAAATATTTTAAATCTTTGAATTATTAGGGAGAATACCATTAATAACATAGCATAAAAAAAGAAAAATGCTTAGTTTTACAAAAATCTTCAGTAGTAGTAGGTAGAACTGACAGCAGTACTGGAACGATCCAAAAATGGTGCATATGTGAACGTGAAATCCAGGCTGACTTTTTCACATTTTGTGTCACAAAGTGGAGCTGTCTGTGAAAAGGAGCACAGCA